TGCAGCAGCCCATCGGGGGACATAACTTTGTTGTGCCACAGCAACAACCGCCGATATCACGACTTCGGAGACTCGCCATATGACGCTGCCTGCGAGCGTCCAAAGGATGTTCCCGTTCCTCGCAGGGACACCGTGGAAAGCGGTCTCGAGACGAGAAGGTGATGCTGATGGTGATATATCACACTCCCAAAACTTCCTCCAATCCATACAAACAAACCAATATTCCCCTAAAGCCTCAGACCCAGGCTACTCAAAAACCTTGACGCCAGGTTCTGCAGCTCTGTGGCCAACTCGCAGAGGTGGAGCAGCGGCATCACTCGCTCTTATCAGAGCTGCCTGGACCTCGGTGCCCAGCTTTGTTGGAGAGACTAGGGAGAAGGCTTCGGTGTGGGCGGTTTTGGAGTTGCAGGGTTTGGGTTTGGGTGTCTAGATAGGTCTGTTGGAGTTCGGGGTCAGACCGGTCTGGCTCCGAAACACATGTTACGATTACGGAGCACGGTCCTGGTAAGAAAGGTAGAGCAAGAAACGTCACTCAAGCTGCTCTCATGACTGTTCCAAAGGGGAACGTTGCGCTTCCCAGGGCAACCACTACGGGAAAAGCAGGTTTCGTCAGCAAGAGCAGTCATCAGTACTACGGCGACAGATGTGTGTCTCTGTGTGTTTGTGTAGCAAGGATAGTTGCCCTGCTGATAATAGTGGGTCAGCGCTTGCGAAGAAAGAGTCCGAACTATCAGATGAGCCACGAATGATCAGAGCCGCCGGAACGAGAATGGCATTTGCAAAGAGACGCAGAGAGTCATCAGTCACTACCTGAGATGTCCAATGAAGCAGAAGAAGCAGTCGCAACGACCGAGGCGCAGTCGCAGTCAAACGGTGGAAGCCTGGCGCACGGAAACCGCGGCGCGCGAGCCTGGGGCCTGCTACTTCGGGCTTGGGCTTGGAAATTTGAATCCAGGTTTGGGGTCTAGAGTCTAGGGTTTAGGGCAACTTCGACCGTTTGTCCAGAGGCGTTCTGAAGGAAGGGACATGCGTAGCCAGCGAGGCACCCCCAAGGCGTACAGCCGCTTTCAGGGCCGGGAGAGACGGAAGAGGGTTGAGGAGTCTGAGAATTCCCAGCCCTGGGTGTGTTGGGGTCCCCAGTCAGAGCGGTCGGGCTCGTGGTTTTTGAGCTTGGTTGTTTTCGAGTTTGGTTTTGTTGGGCTGAGGCGGGGGATGGGGGCAAGCGGGCTTCGAATAATCGTTTAGGGATGATTGCGCAGCATGGCGGATCTGGAACTGAGCGGCCATTGCCCGATAGCCAGCATTAAGGATACCTATGCTATGCTGCCTCAATGTGTGTGTGTGTGTGTGTGCGCATTTGTTTTCGAACATCCCGGAGTTGCAACAGTAGGGTGGTCCCGCGGTGCACGGTGCGACTGCCATGCCACCAAGGTGCATGTAAGCCTCATGTTTGGCGAAACCCGAACCAAACAAAGAGGTTGGAACGCCTATGGATCTGCTAGTGGTTGCGGGTTGCATAAACGTATGTTTGTACGGGTAGCCTAGTCCCCATCAGCGGCGGCAGCGGTGACGGCAGCAGCAGCAAAGCATCAGCATCAGCACGATCAGCATCACCGTCGTCATGGTGCTCATCATGTTTATCTGACGGTGTGAAGATCAAATGCATGATTGTACAAGACAGTTGGTTATAGTAACGGTCGTAACAACACATTTTCAAGCAGAGATGGCAATGATGTCATCACTAAGGACATTAAAGTAGAAGTGCTAGCGAAAGAGAAGAAACGATAGTAGCGCGGATCCTAAAGGCAGCGGTCGTATCGTTTGTGGCTCCAGGGTAAGCTCCGTGTTAGTGGCTGCTCCAATGCTTATACCCAACAAGGAACGAGGCACGATCGTTGCCATGTTCTCATAGTCCCGCAGCAAGAGAGCATCGGAATGGTTAGTCTTAGGAGGAGGAAGGAGGCTGGGTAGAAAGAACAGCGAGATCCTAAACCCTCTCTGTGATTGATACCGTGCCTGGCACCTCCATTGAGTCATATGTCAGTACAGGGTTTCCTGAATCTGTTCTCACTTGCCTGACTGTCGTTGTGAATCTCGCATGGTACATCCGAGTGTGACTGCGACGACAAAGAACCCTAGACCTCGCACTCAAAACCCTCGGCTGCGAGCCCCCAAAACCTGAGCCCCAGGAAGCACAGCACCTAAACCCTAAACCCGCGAGTCTTTGGCTTCAAGTTCTTCCCTCGGTCCCCATCCCTGCCATGCCTGGAGCCCTCGCGCACATCGGCCGGGCCCCTGTTCAGTGAAAGGTGGGGGGGTGGGGTGCAGGGTTTGGTGTAGGTTTAGAGGTAATTAGCGTCTGGTCTGCGTGCTTGTGGGCTTCAGGGAGATGCAACAAAGAACCTTGTAAACCTCTGTGCAACTCTCACTCAAAGTAGCCCCCAACACGGAATAGAATGCTATATCTACACCAGGAACGCTCAGGAACAGTCTCAGTGACGGCCTTTTTCAACGGAGGGGCTGCTCTGGCAGCAGCAAACTTCTCAAATCGAAGATGCGACCTCTACACCCTTTTTTATTGTCGAAGTGTCATCAGCGCACAGGATCACCTGTCGAGTGCTGGTTGGTTGCACATGTCGAGGGCATGGGCTGTTGTCGGCTGGTGTTCAGGGGTTGGTTGTACGAAGAGCTTTGGAGCTATGCCCTGACAATTGCACAGGGTAGCCGCAATCGCTAGTTGATCGCATCTGGTTTGTATTTTTTCGAGCTTCGAGGCCTCTTGGCTGGGCTGCTTCTGCAGAGCTCTACAGCCGATGCCTTGGCAGAGCAGTAAAGTGGAATCAGGGAGCATTCGTAGCATTATAGCATTACTACGCCCTCATTTGAAGCCTAAGCCCTGAACCCCAAGCCCTGAGCTCTGAACCCTACTACAGTTGGCGACAGGCCCGGGATCCAGACCCTCATAATTCTCGCTTGACTTTCCAGCCGCATCCGAGCAGATACGTTGACCAACAAATGGTGCATGAGCGAATAGGTACATAAAGCACAGGTGACTATCTGTGCCTCTGTGTTCGTTTCTGCCTGTATCTATTCCTGCATGCCTTGTATAGTAGTATCACATGTCTTTGATCTATGCGTTAGGCAGCATTTGGCAACCACTCCATGCTCACATCAGCCGGGAACTTTTACATGTCACTTTTTGGCGAAAAGCCGGGTTGCTCTTCTTTTCTTCGGAACCCGCCGAGGTGTTCGGTGCAGACGTGAAGAGCACCAATATCAAGCCCTTTGGTGCTGGCGGTCTATGCTGAGCAATTTTTGTTTGGTACTTGCGCCATGTTGACCCTGTAGAAGGGTATCTCATGTTGATGAGTTTGCATTTCCGCATTCGAGAGCTTGCTGCTTGCTGGCATATTCTCGCGGGGTTGCAGACAAGGGTCAGGAGATTGAGATAGATCTTCGGTGGCTGGCAACAGCAGCTGTTTTGAGTCGCACCGAGATGCATCTTGCTTGTCACTGTCGCGAGTTGCTCCACTCTAGTGTTCAGCCGCCGAGGTTTCATGAGGGCCTCCCGCGCGAGGAGAAATGGAAGTCTAATGGAGTGGCGCCCAGGAAAGAAGCTTACTAGTCCTTGCTACTCATGCTCCTGCTCATGCTGCTGCTTCTGCTTCTACCTGTACTGCTGCTGTTGTTGCCTCTGCTACTGCTGACTCCACTGCTGCTACTGCTACGGCGGCTGCTGCCGCTGCTGCTACTTCTCCTGCTTCTTGCAGCTGAATGGCTGCTTCTGTAGGCAAAGCTTCGGTGGCCACTTCTCAGCCTTGTCACCTCAGGCCACATGGGCATCACGCTGTGGATGCTCTCAGCCCAGCATGGGGTTCGGGTTTGGGTGCAAAGGTGACGTCGCGCCGTCCGAAAATCATCAAGCGTCGTCAGTTGTAGGTTTACCGAAAAACTTGTTGAGGCCTTCAACAAATGCCTGAAAAAGCCGGTCCTGGCAAAAGTCAGCGCTCCGAGTGCGTCTGAGGACCGGCCTGTCGGGCAGTGGCAAGAGCACGATTAGCGCCAGCTGCTGAGTTGGGGGCTGTTCACTGGGTGCTGAACGTTGGGGAGCCTTAGATAGGGGTCCTTGCTAGCAGGATCAGGGAGGACTCTACGAACTGAAGGTCAAACAGGATCCCTGGATTCTGAAGCTGTCATCAGATCTTCTGATTCCTTCATGCACTCATCCGAACAATCGCGGCACTTTCCTTTTTGCACACTTTCCCCACAGAGCCCTCAAGAATTCGTGAACCTTGAACACTTGTACCAAGGCCTCGCCTCTCCCACTTGGCTCAGTCCAAGTGTGAGCGGTAGAATCTTAGGAACTCCAGCTTGCTCGACCACGCTTTCCGAAATGACTCGGGATCCCTAGCCACCCAATCCTGAGGAAGCAGCGAGCGCATGGACAGTCTCCGGACAAGTAGCAATACTAGCGGCGCAGTGATAACAGGTGGAGGTGGAGGTGGTGGTGGTGGTGGTGGTGGTGGTGCATCTCAGCGGTGGGAAGCAAGCAGCAAGAGCGGGAAAAGAAGCTTCCCAAGCACATACAAGAGTCGCATGCCTTTAAAGGTGCTCATTCCCAACAACCCTAAAGGCGTAAACTGAAATACTCCCAATAAGGTTGCACTGGAGCGTGCATTGGTAGAGATGCAGTCCAAGAGCTACTTCGTGCAGGGCCCCAAGCCGTCCGTGTAGGGCTCATAGGGTTTAGGGTGATGCCAGGGTGGGGGAAGGTAGGAGTTAAAGAATCAGGGCTTTTGCCCCTGCGTGACCTTTCTGGTGACCTGATACAGACCCTTAAGAAATGCTTGTCTCGGCTTTGGGGAGATCGTGGAGGGGTTTGGGCTTAGGGTCCGGGCCCTGAGCTTGGAGCTCTGTGGACTTAGGCTTTGGGTTCTGGGAGGAATATCGGAGGGTTTGCACGGAGCTGTAGGAGAACCGATTGTGGAGCACATGGTACGATGGCCGACCGAAAAGAGCGGCAAGTCACCAGAGAAAGTGGACACCTCATCCAGTGCTACCATAGCCAGCCTCGTGCGAATCCTCCTTGCGTCTCCTTGCCATCGCTTCTAATGATCGTCAGCAGCATCGCTGTCGGCATCATCTTCCGTCTCGTCATCATCACCATGAAGTTGCTCGCGCTACCGCCACGGAACCAGAAGAAGACGTGAAAGAAGAAACAACAACGAGGTACCGCCTGGATGGCGACAACTTGCGGTTCGGGCTCAACAGGCGAGTTGCCTTTACTCGATGTGACTAAGGGCTTTGCTTTTATACACGTAGGTGGAAGGAATGGCGACTTGGAGTTGTCGCGTTGAACACTCGGAGTTCAGAAGCCTAGGATTGTCGAGACCTCGTCTTCCACAGGGGTTTTTCGTCCGGACTCAGTTCGGCTGTTTACGCCGCAAGTCCTCACATCAGCCCCCCCGGGGCCCCCCCCCCCCTGTTATACACTTAACCAAAGCATGCCCTCTTTCCTTCCAACCCTGAGCCCCGAACCCCGGAGTTGCAGTGCGCCCACCTCGCATCCGACTCCGCGCAGGGATCTGGGCTTCAGCCCTTCCGACCGGAAGGAGAATGTCCGACGTGTCTCCGAGGCAGCCCGTGAGCAAATGAGAGGAGCGATGGAAGTCAGAGCACTGTCACGAAGTGTTCGCAGGATCTACTGCCAAACTCAAAACCCCGGCTTGGACCATCCTCGCCAGCATTGCCCGAGTTCCGAGAGTCTAAACCCTGCCTGGCCCTGCCTCCTAAAGAATCGGCCCTCGTTTTGATTTGGGAGCCTGTGGCCAGGTGTCCAGACTCTTCGCGGAAGCGATGACCTCGGGAATCGGTGACTTTGTGTTGCCCAAAATCCGGAAAGGGCCGTAAGCCCCGAACTTGCAGAGTAGAGTGTAGTAATGTGTAGTATAGTACAGTACAGTTGAGTAGAGTCTAGAAACTGTAGTACAGTATATCTGCAGACCATGAGCAGAGTGGCTCTCGTAGTTACCAAGCTGCTGGAATCAGGGTTCTGGGCTCCATGATCAAGGTTTGCAGATCTCCTTCGAGCGCAGATTCCAAGAGCTGGATTGAAGGGTGTCGGGCTGTGAGCCAGTGGAAGAGACTGGGGAGTTTCCGAAAATAAGGGGTGCCTTATTATGGGGTCCATGTAATAAGGATCCTACTATTTTATTTAGGGTACTACATTAGGGTCCCCTATTTTCGGAAATCCCCACTTCGTTTAAGCCCTAGGCTGGGGCCATTGTGATCGCGGGCCTGATCTCGCCTTATGCTGCAGATCGCGAGTATGCGCGCGAGGCGGGGAGCTTCGGCTCGGGGCTCGGGTCTGCATTGCTTACTCTCAAGAGCGAGTCTCATGAGAGTCTCATGACCCCTGCCAAAGCCCAAAGCCAGTCGCATTGGGCCTTGATCCTCATATGGGTAGTTTTCTAAATTGGGGTCCCCTTTTAGGGTCCTTTTTATAAGGTGTGCCGTACTATATCGGGGACCTCAAAAAGGGCCCCGAATTCAGAGAACTACCCCATATTTTGTGAGGGGCTTGAACCAGGCCTAAAACCTCCCATGCCAAACCGAGCCCAGCCCTGGCTTCCACTTGCGCAGGTCCACAAGAATGCCTCACTGCCGTTTATGGAGGTCTCAGCAGAGAAGGGTTCTGGGCAGGGTTTAGGGTTTAGGGTTTAGGGCAGACTCGGGCAGAATCGTGCAGTTTGAGCCAACATCTGTCAGGTGTCTCTGTCATCTCCTAGAGTCTGGAGGTTTGCGCAAATCGTCCCGACCGGGTCTAGTTGTCGTGCATCTGCGTGCATGTGCTTCTTGATTGGTCGACGAGCCCACATCAGGATTCCAACACAGATGCGCACATGGCCCATGTCCATCATACTGGCGTGTGTGTATAGGATGGCGTGCTTATAGAATACAATCTCACATATATGTATATATATATAT